CCCCATTTCCCCCCCCCCCTTTAAAAAAAAAAAAAAAAAAAAAAACTAAAAGGAAAAGTTACTCTCAAACCAGAGAATCAGGGAGCCCCTAGCGTTCAGAACCGCCAAATTGTCACAAAAGGAAAATACATATAAATAAAAAGAAACGCTTTCTTGCTGGCCTTGGACTAGGAAAAAAAGAAAAGACTGGAAAAGCAGATGTATTTTTATTTATTTACAAATTTCGGCCTTTCAGCACTTTTTTTAAACTTGAATTATCCTGAAAATATAATTTTCAAGGAAAGCTGGGTTTGTTGTTTTAATGCTAGCTTCAGAGGACACTGTAGTATAAAAGACGTCACACTCTGGAGCCAGATTCCCTACAGTGGAATCCTGGCTGTGTCTGTGCCTCGATTTCCCCTTAATGTAAACGGGAGATACTGTGCAGTAATGTTGGGGATTTAATCTCATTTGAGGTTCTAGAACAGTGCTTCCGCATTAGAAGTTCTCCATAAGCTGAGCCAATACCTTTATTTCTGACTGTAGAAATACAGAAGCCAAGCCCTCCCAACCCTCTGCTAGTCCAGCTGGCATCTGGTGTACCTGTACCACCCCCGGAAACCCCAACGTAGCAGAGTATTCTTGGCGTGGCTTTCCAATGGAACGTTTTCCCTTGGATGCTGTCATTTTCCTAATTATTTTATGTGAACTGTGTTTTCTTGAAGAGCCTGAACACTTGTAGAGCCTCCCTCACACCTTCCACAGTACTGAGCGTACAGTGTAGAACTGTATATTTCTTCTAAGGTTTTTAATTCTGTGATACAGAAATGGAAATGGGTCTAGCTTTTTGACATACTGTATGGATCACGATCTTCCGTCTTAGACCGTTCCATAACCCTATGCCCCACCATCAGCCATCTTAAACATTCCTTCCACCTCCACCCACTGCTCTCCTATACCTCTGTGTGTACAGTGCCAGCCTTCTTTCCCTCGCTGGCAAACTGTTCCTCCTTGGTTCACCCCTGACTTTTTGTCTCCCTTCTGTGCCCTTGCTTGACCCCTACACTGAATTAACTTCACTTTCAACATTCTGCTTAGAACACTCATGTAACAATGAATCCCAGTCTAATCTGGTGTTGGAGTCAGCAGAAACTAGTCAGCTGTATAAATTATTAGCCTCCCTCCATCTCCTCCGTGCTCAAGCTTTGGGGTTTACAGAATTAAGCTCAACTTGAACTGGGAAACAGTAAGGGAGACTGGCAGGACCTCTGTCTTGTGAAAGCAAGACTCTCAGGCAGCTTTGGAGGGACACATCATTCAGCTCCTTCAAAGGGCAGCAGGTAAAATGCCTGGTTTCTAAGAGAACAAGTACTTTAGATTCCTTTACCGGGAATCAGCTTAGTCTCTTGCCTTGTTAAGCTGGCAGAACAAAGCAAAGCCAGTATCACAATCAATGGCTTTCTAAAAGGGATTCAGGGTTCCCATTTCCTTTTCCTTGCCCACCCAACCTTCTTCAACTAGAATCATCTTTGAAATTCAAAGCCACGAACCAAATCTTTGGAATGCCAATCTAAAAGCAACTGCAAACTTTTCAAACTACAGCCTTCTCTGATCTTTTCTCTCCTTAGCCACCAAAAGCATCTGGACCTTTGCTTCCTACCCTTTCTCAAGTGGCCATAATTTACTTCTTCAAGATGGTTAGTTCCTCGGCCTGACTTGAGAGCTCACAAAGCGATGGGCAGTGAGATCCGCAGCTAAGGAAGCAACAACTGGGTGAAGTGCCGTTCTCACCCTTCACACGTCCTACCTGATTTTCCTTATGTGGAAGATGACTTAGGTTAAGAACAAATACATCCGAGCGCTCCCCACTCACTTCTTCTCTGCACTTTGGCCAGTTGTGAGTTTCTGCATTAACCACCACCCGCCCCTAACTGAGGAGTTATGGACAGTGGATGGCTCCTGAGGGAAGGAGAATCGGTTTTCTTTAAGGCTGTGGCTTTGGGGAGATTGACCGTGCTCCAGTGGATGGTCCCACTGAAGTATATGGGCAGCACAAGTGGAGTCAACGGATTATAAGATTAAAAGGGAACAGGTAGGGAAGTGGGGGTGGATCTGAGTGGAGTTAGGTGTAATATGATCAAAATACATTGTATAAAATTCTCAAAGAATTAATAAAAATATTTTTAAAGGACAAATGGGTTTTTTTTTGCTTTTTTTTTTTTTTTTCATCTTTTTGAGACAGGGTCTCCCTGTAGCCCCCCCTAGCTGTCCTGGAACTCACTATGTAGACCAGGCTGGCCTTGAACTCACAGAGATCCTCCTGTCTCTGCCTCCGAGTGCTGGGATTAAAGGCGTGAGCCACCACACCCAACCTTTAAAAGCTAGACTTTCCCCATTGTTCATGGTATCATAACTATGTCATCATTGTTGATTTATTTAAATTACTGAGATTCTTAACTTTAGCCTACACTAGATTAAAATCTAGGAACCTATTTCACTTTATGTTTCTCTGGCTTAAACTCAACTACTTATTAAGAAAAATTAAAATCTGTTATTGCAAAAGCAGATAAAAAGGATAATAAATGGTTGCTTAAATAAGAGTTTTCTATTTCCATTTACAAGGGTTTGTAGGGGTTTTTTTTGGTAACTGAAAGATCATAGTGTTAACTGATGTGTGTAGTTCTATGCAAACAAGATTATATTTGAATAATTCACAAGGAAAATACTTCAAATATTCATTAAAATCGACTTGAAAAAGTCATAAAATAGAACATCTATCTAATATAAATCAACCTAACCACATATATAAATTTAAAGGCCTCTTGGCTTTACTTTTTTTTATCATTTGATGTTATCCCTCCTCCTCCTCCTCCTCCTCCTCCTCTTCCTCCTCCTCCTCTACCTTATTCTCAGCTTTAAACCTGAAAGTTGAACAATCTTACCAGCAAATAAAACATGGTAAAGCACTCTTGATGATAGTTTACAATGGTGTCATTTCAAAGTCATTAAGTAATTAAAATTCCTGGTAAACATAGCTTACCAAAATTCACACATTAAAATGACATCTAGTTCCCTAACCTGGTTATATGCCATCAGCAGGGATAAATGCCTTTTTAAGACCAACTTACTACATATGGAAACAACACACATCATTCTTAAATAACTGATACCTCCCAAGAGATTTAAACAGCCTAGGATCTCTTGTTACCTCATGATTTTATTTCTGTCTCTTTTTAAATCCCTAATATCTACTAATTAATCACTTTTTGAAAAAGGTATGAATTGGCTCTGAAAATGTTTAAGAGAAAAATAGCAAAATTCCTGAACATAAAACTGTGAATTCAAAAAGTAGAAGCCCAGTGTTTTAAGTCATGAAAATTAAGAAGACATCACTTTGGCTCAGAAGCGCCCCATTTCTCCAGGTTCCTCAAAGCTCTTGCACTCCAGCACTGGTATTACCAAGCCAAGCTTGCTGGCTTGCTGTTAGGAATACTGAATTAGATGTCTTGGGTAACTCCGCACTTCACCTCCCTTAGTTTAAGCCGGAAAGAGTGAGGAATCTAGATCAGAAAATCTTGGACCTGCAGTTTGACCTAAGGCAAGCTGAGAAACCATTCTGACCCTGTTTCCTCAACTTTTAAAGGAGGCTGACATTTTTCTTCAGCTCTGTGGAAGACTCAGAAAAGCTATAGAATGAAAGAGTACAGTTGAAAGCACCTGGTATCTTATAGGCAGTCAAAAAATGTTACCTGAATGTTAAGAAGCCTTGGTTTGATCCCCAGTTCTGCAAAAACTTAAATTAAAATGTATTAAAAGAACACTATTTCTACAGCACAGATAACTGGCAGTAGTCAAAAAGTATCAACTACCAACTCAGAATATGCCATTTAATTTTCTTCTGCCTTCCATAAATACAATAATACCTTCACTTTCTCTATCCCTATCTTGTTAAAATAATCCATTTTAGAGCTCTGGAGAAGGCTCAGTGGGTACAGTGTTTGCCTCAAAAGTATGAAGAGCTATATTCCATCCCTAGAACTCACATTTCTTTTCTCTTTTCTCTTTTTGGTCTCTTTTTGGTCTTTTTTTTTTTTTTTTTTTGAGACAGGTTCTCCCTATAGCTCCAGCTGGCCTGGAACTCACTATGTAGACCACGCTGGCCTTGAACACGTAGATATCTGTCGGCCTCTGACTCCTGAGTGCTGAGATTAAAGGCATGTGCCACATGCCCAGATAAAACTTACATTTCTTAAAAACATTTTTAAAATATTTTTGGGGGCAGGGTCTCCCTGTAAGCCC